AAAAGGACCTAACCGTGAAGACCAGGGCAGGTCACAGCCCTTCCAGACCATCTGAATTGGTAGTTTGGAATATCTGAGGATATCATAGACAGTCTGTAATGTGTGTACCAGGGTTTGGGTGAACTCTATAAGAGCAGAAGTAGGTAATGGTAACGGCTTCAGCTCACAAGTCCTTGTCCTTGGACTCGGGCATAAGTTACTGAAGCCTAGGCTAGCCAGATTGTGAGTATGAAAAGCTCTAGCAGGTTTACCTTGAGGACAAAGGGTTCGCTAGTCGAGCCTGCTTTAAAGTTCTAAGTCAGGATTCTTAAGGGATATACCCTAATTCGGTTATATATAGGGTGACTTACATACGGTGCAAAAGGTTTAAATAGATAACCCTCTAGTTGGGTTATAGATATGGCATCTAGTATAGAACTTAGTAATAAGTAAACTACTTAAATAGGAAATCAAAAGTTGTATATGTGGTTAGTATGTATCTTCCAAAAATATATATACTATACGGGTGCTGAGAGGGGTTTAGCGTACGGTAAAAAAGTTAACCAGTAACTGAATAAAGAGACCTGACCAAGAGATCACCTTAACACCAAAAAAAAAAAAAAAAGAATTATTAAAAAAATAAATAATAAAATTTTAAAGTAGATTAAATAAATCTGTTTTAAAGTAATACAAGTCTAAAATAGTTGGTTTTTTTATTATTTTATATAATAAAACATAATAAAATGAGTTTACTAAAATGCACCAGTGGTGTTCAATACCATAGTAATTTTAACTAATAAAATTGTTGATCTACAGTATAACATCAAGATCAAGTGTAACATAAAAAATTCTTTAATTTTTTAAAAAATCTTTAATAACTCGAAATTTTGCTTATGAAACCACCTTTTGTGTCTTAATAAAAAAAATTCCTTGCTAAATTTTAATCTTTTTTTAAATTTTTGTTTTGATATGTAGTGTTGAACACCACTGGTGCATTTTAGTAAAGTTGTAATAAAAACATAGTAAAAATATAGTAAAAATTAATAAACTTAAATTACTTCTAACTTTTTATATATTAAATCAATTTGAATAATTTTATTATTATTAAAATCAAAAAAATAGCTCTACAATCTTTACTAACATTTTAAAAAAATTTAATCAAATAAAATCTTTGTTATTTATAATTTAATAATTTTTTAGTATATTTTTAATAACAAATTAAATTTTACTTATTAATATAATTTTTGATAAATTAATTAATTTTTAAATATATTAAAATAAAAAGGGTTATATGTTAGATAAATTTAATTTAAAATTAATAATAAAAATTTTAAAATTTAACTTTTAAAACTATACTAAATTTAGTACATTGTACTAAATTTAGTACGTACAGCAAACGGATACCCATTAAAAATATAAAATTTTATTAAACTATAACTATACGTACATAATGGTAATTCTCTTTTTTAATTAGCCATATTGTTATTGAAAAAACAATTATAACAATGAATTTTAAGAATAATAGAAAATAAGCAATTGTCAACACTGAATGTCTACGTACGTACAAACTTTACAATGTATACTATATACGTATTACCGAATGAAAGTAACTAAAATGTTCCAAAAAAGCTATTTTTGGTGGGACCTAAAGAGATTGCTCATCAGGCTTAGTAATACGTATACGGTAATAAACAAAAATTAATATTTATACGTACTACATATACGTACAAAAACCAAAAAAAAAAAATTCTTAACACATACGTAGTAACTGCACAGTAACTATTTATAGTTACGTACGTATTATGTAGTTATTGCGCATAAAGATATCCAAATTTCTGTATTCTGTATTGTAAAATATTTGTCTTCACCCGACATGCACCCAAAATTTTCCACGCTGCGATGCTCTTAAATTTTATTTCATTAAAAAAAAAAAAAAAATAGGCAGAATGTTTTATTAGTAAAGTGCAATACTATATAGTTATTGGTTGATGACTTAAAATTTTTATATAATAAAATATACAGATGATCTTAAATGACAGGAATATGTCGAATTATTCCGTAGGGGAAAATATTTATCCGAGTATTATAAAATTACCCGTTTATCCGGGTAGTTTACTCTATCCATATAATAACAGATAACAATTTATACCTTTATAATTTACAATCCCTAGTAGTAAAGGTAAAGAATTGAAAAAGTAATAAATAGTCTTTTAATTTAACTTTTATTGCGACTAATTTGTGCAATTTACTTGTTTTAATATTTCTTATCGTAAGATCATATAGATAACGTCTAACTCATCTTTTCACGGGAAAATGGGTTAGGCGTTATCTAGATGATCTTATAATAAAAAAGATTAAAGAAAAAAAATAGTAAATGACGTATTATATGACCTAAATTACACATTTTATGACCTAAATGACACGAGTGCGCCGTAATGGTAAGTAATTAATATATCGTAATAAAAATATTATGTGCCTTTATGCCAATCAGCGACATATACTAAACCCTAATCAGTGATCATGAAACTTTATCTCGCCAAGCATTTTAAAATAAATTGAATTAGATTTTACTTCAACAAAGAACTCTATTTATATATAATCGGTGCACTTAATTCTTCTATCATAACTACAATTAAAATTAAATCATTGAATTATTAGTTAAATAAGAAAATACAATTAAAAGCGACACATTATATGGCTTTTGTAGTAGAAAGAGTCCAAAGACGAAAATATATGATTTTGAGATAATCAATTCAGATGTAATGTTTTGATTGGTTACGTAATTTTTTTCACACTTCTGCTATATATTCTTCATTTAAACGACTTAAGTATTTCTTATTGTTACTTTCAAATAAATTAGCAATTACATCTTATAAAATAAGATAGGTGTATAACGTATTGTGCTTAAACCAGAAACATAGTATGTTTACTAGATTCATGTTAATGATTTTATGAACTTTCAAATATATATTGTAAACAACAGTATTCAATTATCATGTGCATCCTATTATAAAATATCGTTCGTCTAGTCTAATTAGCTCTTGTAATATAGATAATTCTATTTTATAATTAATTGGTTTATAATTAATTTGACTAAATTTTCGAAAACCGATTTTATCCAGACTATCGTTCAAATATCGATCCGGAAAATGCTCATTTTTCGGAACAAAACTTACATAAATTCCCATAGAATCCTAATAAATTCCGGGTAAAAATCAAATCCGAAATAGATTCGGCTTCTAATTATAATGAAGCACAAAAGGTTAGAAGCCGAATCTTACCCGGATTTGATTTTACCCGAAAATGACCGGAATTCTATGGAAATGATCAAGAATTTGTATATGTTTTGTTCCGAAAAATGAGCATTTTCCAAAACGATAATGGAACGATAATCGGAAAAAGCCGCGAAAATTTTTATAGGGTACAAAAGGTTCAGATTATATAGTACTTTATTAAATTTATTAAAAAATTATTTATACAGTATTATAAAAAAATCTTTGTAAAAAAGATGGGGCAATATCAATATTCTATACTCAACTTGTATAACTTGTTTAGAAAAATAATATAAAGATAATATGAATTAGAGTGATAAGAGAAGCATAAATATTTGTGAAAAAATTGATTTAACTAAACAAAAAATAACTTTATATTTGCAATAACTTATAAAAAAAATAAAAAAGATAATAAAATATATATTTGAAATAAACAACTTTACTAAAACGCACCAGTGGTGTTCAACACCACATCAAAACAAAAATTTAAAAAAAGATTAATATTAGGTTAGGGTTATTAGCTAGGATTGGAGAATATAGGTTATCATAACCAAAATTTTGCAAGGAATTTTTTTTATTAAGACACAAAAGGTGGTTTCATAAGCAAAATTTCGAGTTATTAAAGATTTTTAAAAAATTAAAGGATTGTTTTGATTTTTTATGTTACACCTGGTCTTGACGTTACACCGCAGATCAACAATTTTATTGTTGAACACCACTGGTGCGTTTTAGTAAACTCGAAAATAAATAATAGAAACAGTATTATACCTTGCCAAAATATTAGATCAATATTAGAATACTAGCAGTAGTTAAAATACTACTAGATTGAAAATATTGCTATATACATATTACTTACATATCAAAAAAACAATAATATAAATTACAAAGTGTATAGTTAACTGTTATCTAGAATGACGCATATACAAATTGTGATTTTGATTGGATAATGATCAAAAACATGAGTTTAATAATACCAATCACGAAGCATATACGTGCCAGGAACATGTATAGCAACAGTCACTAGCAGAGAAAAGTTAAATCTAATACAATTAGAAATAAATTAGATCCCACCTTGCATTCTGGTATACATCTTTTATATTTCAAAATTTTATTAGAATAACCCCTGTTATATGATATAATATAATATAAGTTTTTTTTGTAATTCTACTCTAACCCTAACTCGAATTCTTATTTGTATTTATTTTGTTATTAGATGCACAAAGTGCATCCTGCATCAAATAAATCCTATAAAAATTCGCTAATTTAATTAATTTAAATTATGAGAACGCCTATTTCCACCATGAAAATTTGCTATTTCCACCATTGAACGCAATTTATCATAACAATATCGATATTCTTCATCATATTTATGCAGCTAAAAGCAGTGTTGTACAGTACCGGACAGCAAAAAATATCCACTTTTTATATATAAATATAAAAATGATAACTCAAAAACCAATAACTTAAAAAATCTGTTTTACAAATTTGTTGCTTTTAATCTAAGTTACAATTCTGTTAAAATAGACTTTTATTTTTATTATAAAATTAAAAAGTTATTAGAGCTTAATTTTCAAAAATTTGGCGTTTAATATATAAAAAAATTGTTTATATATATATTTAACCAATCAGAATTTGTTACACAAAATTACCAAATTGTATTTAATGTTACACGAAAATTAGCCAATAATATTAGATTATATAATAAAAAAAATTGGATATTTTTTGCTATCCGTACTGTACAGTCAAACAATGGACTTATGGACCAATTGGAATGGTCCTATTTGGACCATTCCAGTTGATCAAAATAAATTTAAATGGAATATCGGTCTAATAAATTTTATTTAAAAAATAAAATTTATTACGTGAAATATGTATTATCCAATGAAATTACAGTACTTTAATTATATTAAAGTGATTTTTTTTTAATTATTTATGTAATAAATTTTAAATGAACTTATTTTAATTACTGTACTTAAAGCAATAAATTTTCATGTAGAACGCTATTTATTAGAACTTTTATTTTTATAATACCTTGCTATCTGATCACATTTAATTTTAGAGATGCGATCCGTTATCCATTTTTCTATTTAAACTGACAGATATCCGGATCTCATCTCTAGTTAATTTTAATAAAGTATTTAAGTAATGTAGCTTTTTTTTTTTGACCTGCAGAGACACTCTCAGGATGCCATAAGGCAGTATTGGGAAGATTACTATGTCCAATGGTTTTCAAAGTTAATTGGACACTCGACATTTTCCGATCGGGCTAATTCGGAACATTTTAAACCAACGTACCAGTTCTTATTTACATGTAAATCATTTTTTGCCCATATGATTCAATAACTTATCGATAGTTATCGAATGAACGTTTGAATCAATAAAGGCAAAAATGCCAGTAAATACTGGTAATATTGGCTTGAATTTTCCCGAATTTTCCCGATCGGCAAATGTCGAATGGTGATTTTCCTAGCAAAGACCCCATATGTCCAAAACCAATTGGACATATGTCATTTATTTGGGTAACGATAAAAATTTGTATATTATTTTGATATAAATCTTATAAGATAGAAAGGGTAATTTGGCAAAGTTAAAATAACCATATAAAAACTTTTTTATTTTGATATTAAAAAATTTTTTATTTTTTTTTTATACACAATTTAAAATTATTATATAAAATTAATAATGTAACACGTTGTTTTAGAATAGCATTAAATGAGTTATACATCATGTCATTTAGGGATGTGGTCCGGTTTTAGAACAGTCCGGGATGTTTCCAAATTTGGTATATGAAGATCGCTTCTTTTTTAGCAAAAGACCTGCAAGAAGATGATTCTAAATACTTCGGCGAGGTTGAATTTGTACCAATCAGCGTTTGTGTATTTTATTGTGAGGCAACTGTATTTTTAAGCCCGTGAATCCCCATGGATACCTAAACTGCATGCTTCACCAAGGCTTTCTATAATAATTATTTTGACATTTTGGATGTTCTATAGAATAGATGGGCAAACTCCGCAACTCCGCTATTAAAAAATTAATGATTACTAATCATTAGCGAAGCTTATTTCTTATATTGCCCACCTATTCTATAGAATATCCGAGATTTTTTGTTATGTGAAATTTTTTGAATGTAACAAAAATCATTTCTGGAAAATTCTTTTACTAGCTAAATCATCTGGTGCTGGTGGTAATTTCAGGAAGCTGATCAAATCTAAAAAGGTTGATCAATTTCCAAATTTGGAAAATACCGGACTGTAATAGGCCACAGTTAGTCTTAAGACTGGACCGGTCTGGATTAACAAAGTTTTAAGAATGAAGATCATAATAGACCAGACCAGACCTGAACCAGACCAGACTGGTCCAGACCGGACTGTTAACCTCCTTATAATTATAATTATCCGACAAACTCTTATGATCATGAATTTATTTCTGTCTGTTATTTTTTTCATGTGTTACGAAATATTTACATTTACTCGAATTAAAACTCAGCCGACGACTCCCTACCAATCATGATCATAAATTATCGGATAACACCATTATTCGGCAAATTTTTGAATAACGGTAATTTGGCTCAACCGGGCAAATGATTGGCTGACACGTGCCGCTTCGCGGCACGTGTTCATTTTCCCGGTTGAACCAAATTACCGTTATTCAAAAATTTTTGCCGAATATAATAAAAGTGGGGATAAGTAGGAATAAGGTTATTAGTAAATATTGGAATCTGGCTGTTCCACCTTCTAATTTTTTTTTCTGTCAAGTAAGCCTTTAATGTACTTCTAATAAACATTGCTGCATTGTAGAGCTAATTTTTCTGATTCTAATGGTGGTAAGATTATTAAAATTGACCCAGTATAGCATGAGATATGAACATTTTAATCTTCGCGACTATATGTTTTTTTTCTTTGCTTATTTAAAGAAAAAATATATAGTCGCGAAGATTAAAATACTCATTTCTCATGCTATATTGGGTCGATTTTAATAATCTTACTACCATTAGAATCAGAAAAATTAGCTCTACAATGTTTATTAGAAGTACATTAAAGGTTTACTTGACAGAAAAAAATTTAGAAGGTGGAACAGCCAGATTCCTATATTTAGTAAATTAATATAGTAATTTGCCCCAAATTTTATTATGTAGATCCTACCAATTATAGGCGAATCACGAATTAAATTTTAGAGAGGTAGGGGTAATTTGACAAATTGATGATATTGCGTGTGATCCAGTAATCAGATGCAAATAATTTTTATACCATTCAATTCGTCTCAATGAGACGAATTGAATTGTACAAAGCTCATCCAATTCTGATCGCCGGATCACGAGATATCATCGACCATATACTGCACAAAAATAATCCTTGAAGGAATTTTAACGAAGTGTAAACTTGGAAAATAATCTATGATACCTTGTGAACCAGTGATCAGAATCGGATGAACTTTGTACTCTCATCGAGACCAATCGAATGGTATAAAAGTTATTCGACCTCGATCACTAGCTCACGAGATATCCCGATTCGTCAAATTATCCCTTCGTCAAATTACCCCTTTCTACCTTATATTTTAATCATCTTGTACCTTTATTGATTCAATAGCTATTCGATAAACTATTAAATCAATAAAAGTAAAAGATGATTAACGTATAAACTCATAGGAAGACATTCATATGTTTGGTCAATTTTTGTAGATCTACTCGTGATTACCCGTGATAATTAACCAATCAAATTACACAATTTTTAACGTTTTAATACTATTAAAAACTGGTATAAAGAAGCTTATAAGTTAATAATGCACACAAAAAAATTTATCTCAAGTACTTAGAGAATAGTTAGATACGCGTAAAGTGGGTAGATATGATATTTATTACTAATAAGCTCGAATTCATTAAAGAATCTACAACATAAACCAAAACCTTTGATTTAC